TTCACTCTGTATTTTTGACATTTTGATTGTGATATTTCCTGGAGTGGCTTTTCTCTAGTCATATCTATTTGGATTCCTAAATGCTTCTTGGTTTTGGATGTTTGGTTTTTTAAAATAATATTTTGAGATTGTAATACAATACATAATTTTCCCCTTTTAAGCTTGGGGAATTTTCTTCTATAATTTCATAAAATAAACTCCCAATGCTTTTGTGCTTCATCCCATTTCCTTCTTTTCTGTGGATTTTTAGAATGTGCCTCAGACTTCTTCAAAGTTTTGGCTATAGTCACTTATGTATTTTTCTTAGTATTTTTTACATTTACTTATTTGTGTGGGGAGAGGGCACATTAGATCCCTATGATATAACTTTGTTCTCTTACAGATGAACAAATTATATCGTATATTATATTTTGTATTTTATTCATCTATTCTTTTGTTGTTGGCCACATAGATTGTTTCATCACTTAGCTATTGTGAATAGTGCTACAATAAATACCGATGTGCAAGTATTTCTGAGCTATGTTGACTCAGCATCCTTTGGGTTAATACCCAGGAGAGGAAGAATTGGGTCATATGGTAAATCTATTTTCAGTTTTTTTGAGGAACCTACATATTGGTGTCCACAGTGGTTGAACCAGTTTATATTCTCACCAGAAATGTATCATGGTTCCTTTTGACCACAAACCCTTGTGGGCATGTGTTGTTTGCTTTCTCAAATACCACCATTCTGCCTGGAATGAGATGAAATCTTATCATAATTTTCATTTTGCTTGGCAAAGGAAACAGCTAACTGAATCAAGAGGCACCCTAAAGAATGGGAGAACATCTTTGTTAGCTACACATCTGATGGATGGTTACTATCTAGAACATACAAAAAACTCAAAAATAACTAAACAAGAAATGAAAAAACCCAGTCAATAAATGAGTTAGTAAAATGAACAATTATCAAACAATAGATTACAAATGGCCAACAAGGCTATGAAAAACCATACTAGCCACCAGAGAAATGCAAATTCATTTCATTTTTAATAAATTAATATTGTTCTAAAATCAATATAGTTATCATAAAAGAACTGAGTATGGGGAGAAATAGAGACAGAGAAGGAAGGGGAAGTAGATGGTATTGTAATTTAAGAAAAGCATCACTCAAGAAAGACAACAAATGACAGAATTCAAGCAGAGGGTTTTTTTTTTAATTAGGGAAAGAGATCATAAAAAGGGAAAGAGGAGGGGGAAGACCAGACTCCTCCGGGGCCAGGAGCAGTGGGAGAGAGGAAAGAGGAGGGGGAAAAAAGGAGGAAAGAGAGATAGAAGGGTGGTAGGTGGGCAGGGCCCTTTTAAAAGGGAACATAGTGAAGGTGCACAGGTGGTCTCTTAGTGGCTGCAGCTGAGGGAGAATCCTGTCAGAACCTCAAGGACAGGCCAGTACAGATGGAACAATAACAACAACAAATCTCCTAATAAGGAAAGGAGTTATGAAGGGACCATCATTTGATTAGCATTTGATTCCTATTAATATAAACTTACATGAAGTAACAGAAGTTTGATTTTTATGAAGGTTTATTTTCATGTTTACCTTTAAAGAGCTCTGTTTTGTCACAACTCATTCATTCATTGCACCTGTGGACAATAGTCAGATTCCAGGAATCAGTTTATCCTTCCTGGAAGGTAGACATTTTGGCACCAGAATCAATGTATTTTGGGTATATTTTCCACTAAAACAATAATAAAACAGCTTTTTTTCCTCCTGAGCTTTGGTTTTACTTTGTTTTATTTTGATTTTGATCAAAGGCCTTCAATAAAGGTAGACAAAGTGTAAGGCTATGGGAGATTAAATTCCACTGCACAGCAACCAAATTTCACCCATAGGAGAATGATGAGGGCACTTTCCCACCCCTGCAGACCATAAACATTTCCTGAACTCAAAAACACTAGACTTGAAATCCTGTGGATCTCAAGTATCCTGAGGCTGAGGTGAATTAGCTACCCACTCTTGGATTCTGCTGACCTCCAGAGGGAGCCCTGCAGCAGTCAGAGCTTGAGCTCTTGGACAATAGTTATTCACGTAAGACTGTGTCTAGTAAAGCCATGTTTTCACGAATAATGGTGGGAATCCAGCCAACTCTATAACTTAGGAAACTATGAGCTAAAAACAAAACTCAGAATAACCTAAAATAACATGACTCTTGCTAGACACAGCCCACTTTCATGGCTATTTTATTATATGGAATATGCCACTGTAAGATCTTAAAACTCAGAATTACCATCCACAATGTCTGTGGTCAATATATTAAGGATGAATGATCTAAGGGAAAACTAGTATTGGCTTACATAAAGGAACAAAGGTTCTGTTACTCTAAATGATGGGAAGCCTAAAGCCTCAGCAGTAATTCATTAGTCCTCAACTACAATGGCCTTTTAAACATTCCTGGAGTTAGGAGATCATATTGAGGCCAGACTAGGTTCTCCAGCTTTCATCTTTATAATCTGTTAGAGGTTTTCTATCCTATCCTTTGAGGATGAAAATGACAAATGCCATACTATCGCTTTCTGCCATGCAACACCTTTCATCAAAGACTGTAAGCACCAGAGGTGGTGACTGAATCCTAGGAAATGGTGTCTTCTGGGCAGTACAGAGCAGGTGGACATATGAGCTCACAGCAGAGTAATTTCAAGCCAGACCAAATCTCAGTGCCGGCAGGGGAAGACTGACATGAAGTCCCACTCCTAGCAAAAGAACTACCGACAGTTGATGGCTTCTGAGAGACAGAGAATTAATTTTTGTCAAGAGTATTGCCACCACTAGGTTGACCGTGCTGCACTAGAAAGCCACACATCCAACAGTATACAAATGGCAGCACAAATAGGATGCCATGGGGGGATAAAGAGGACAACAAACTGGGTGGGTAGGGAAGAGGTGGATTTGAAAAAAAGGTGGGGGAGAGAGTGGACATGGTCAAAACTCATTGTATGGAATTCTCAAAACTAAACTAAAACTAATAATACATCCATAGACTTGATATTACAGATATATTTGAAATAAGCCAAGCTATGAATTAAATAAGTAACTTTCTTGAGGGTTAATGCCAAATGGATGCATTTCTGCTTTGTAAATGGTTCCATTAAGAGGAGAGAATTCTCCAATGAACTCAGTATTATTTATATTGTTCAACTGTATTGTCAACTCTAATCAGAAGATACCAAATTTCCAAGCATCTTTCCTGGAGTGGGAGCTGACAGGCCGCTTACCTGTAACAACACACCACTCCACTCCATCCTTTGGAGAGCACAGAGATGCAGGTTTCCAGAAAGAAAGAAATGACAGGATAGAGGAGGAAGAGCCCAAATAAGACAGTCTATAGGATCTAGGAGAATGTGCCCAGGGTAAGTACTTGCTATACAAACATTGTGGCTTGAGTTTGCATCCCCACCTGATCCTGCCCAAACACACCTATAATGTCAGTGCTGGAGGAAGGGATAGACGGATCCCTGTGGCCTGCTGGCCAGCCAGTCTAGCGAATACAGTGAGCCTAACGTTCAGTGAGAGACCCTACCTCAACATGTAAGGTGGACAGTAACAGGAGAAGACATTGGAAATCAAGCTCTGGTTTCCACATGGGCACACAGGGGCATGTGCACTCCCACACACAGCACACACAGTGTTATTCTTTGAAGAGATGGGGGTCACAGCAAAGAAAAATTACTCTTACAATATTACAACATATTTTTAATCAAATTGTAAATAAAAACAGCAATGGTTATTCAGTTTCTTGACCTAAGCAACGTTGCCATTCCAATGTCTTGCTTTTCCTTATAAGCAAAAACCATAGTAAAGCGTGGCTGTTATGAAGTAACTTGTTGGGTATTTATAAAAGTGAGTAAAAGAGGTGGCTGTGATGGAATTGCTCATGCTGCAGCCCTTATATGCTTTTTTTTTTACTCCTGTCACATACAGAGTTAAGTCATGTTGGATTCACTCCAGTAAAGTGCGGAAAACCCAACTCCACAAGAGCAGAAGTGTAACTCAACACTCAGGGAAAGAACTCAGGCATCCCCTTGATGCAGATGATTAGCCATAGGGTCACTACCTAGGACTGCACAGTGATACCCAAAGCAGACCCTTAAGGGTCCTCAACATCAGCCCTATCCTCTAACATGGTCGCACTTGAAAAGGTCTACAGGAAAGTGTCATTAATCAAAGAAGGCAAAAACCAGCTCTGTTTAAGAAAGCTTTGCTTCTTTATCTGGAACAGAAGAATTAAGAAACGCATACATTTGTGTGTGTGTGTGTGTGTGCCCACATGCAGGTGCACTTCTGTGTGCATAGATTCTGTATGAATCTATGGTCACAGAAATTTTAAAAAGAAAAATCATACATTTCATGAGTTTTTAGAAACCAAAATATGCCTGAGAAATTGTGAATTGCCTCATAGTGATAAAAACAAAACAACAGCAAGAGACACAATCCCCCTGCACCCAGATATCGTGAGGAAGGGGCCATACTAGGGTGCTTAATACCAGTCTCCAAACACAAACAGGAAGCCTCAGCATCCAGACAGTTCTGGCATCCGTAATTCTGCCTGTTACCTACTTTCTGATTCTATGAGGAGTGAATGCTGCAGGACAGGACCTATAGTATTCATTATGACTTCATTGAATTGAAGGTGTTTGGGGTTTGGTTTCCAACAGTAATGAACTGGCATGCACTAGGAAAATTCACCAGCTGTCTTGTCTTAGAACCTAGAGACATCAATGGAGGCTATACTAGAAGGAAAGGTAAGGCTCTGGGCAGTGTTTCGTGTGTTTATTTTTCTTGCAGAACTCTAAATAGTTGCTTTGGCCCCATAACTGTCCTGGAGACTCAGAGCTGTTTACGGAATCCAAGAGTTGCAGCAGTACATTTCCATGAGCTCATGAGCAGCCAGCCCCAGCTGTACCTTTTCCATTTCACACGTGCCGGAGAACATCCGTGCCACTCAAGCCCTGCTTTGGGCTTGTGCTTTAATGACAAAGCAGCAAAAGTCAGACGGTTAATTACTTCGCTCTCAGGGCTTCTTTACAATCGCTGCTTTGGTCACTATGTTAAAGCAATCAGAAGGCCATTTCTTGCCTGCCTCTTTATGCTAATTAGCTAGTTCTCTCTGCTCCTCCCCCTGCAGCCTCCCTTAAGAACTGTACACATCAGTTGTCACAGGGGTAAACTCTGACCAAGCAGAGAAACCTTGATTTCATCCTGCAGTACTTTAAGCCCCTTGCCTGTGAATTTCTCTGGCAGTCCTCTCTATGCTTGAGAGACTGGACTCCAGATGATAGAAGAAACCGAAAATAGCTAAAACTGACCGAGAGAGATAGTTTCTTTGTAGGATTTTACATTATAAAGGGAAAGTTTCAGAATGCTTTGAAACAAAGTAAGAACGAAGTCTTGCTTCTAGCCAAGTAAGTTGACATCTTTGTAGGCAGGAGACGTAACATTGGTAAATATTTACTGCAGGATTCTTAACCAGGGAAAACTCTGGCATGTTCTTCGAGGAGTAAATGTTTTACATGCGAGGCGAGATCTGCGTGGGCCTCTGTGTCCTTTCCAAGTGACTTCTGGAGACGCTTTTAGATGACTGGCTAAGACAAAATGCCCTAGTGATTCCCCAAGCTGCAGCCAGATTGTTGGTACCATGTCTAGCACACAAAGGAAAGAAGACGGCCACCTGTTCGCCAGTTTGGGCACGTGTCAGCTGAAAGCGCAGAAGGACCAGCAACAGCAAGGTGGGTCTGGCGAGCTAAGTCCTGTGTTTTGTGACTTTCTGGCCATTTGCATGTCTGGGAAAAGGGTGGGCTGCTGAAGCACCTGGCAAGCTCTGATTATAAAATGCTTTTTAAACATGGGGGAGAGGAACGACAGTGAGGCGTGACAGCGGGTCAACATGGTCTCACTGTTGCTTTGGAGGATTATCAGTAGAGTATCGAGAATACACATTCCTTGGAAATGTGCACTTAAACTTCTAGCCATTGTCAGTTGTGTAGAGTTTGACAAGTGTGTATAACTGAAAACACCGATTGGGGCAAGGTTGACTTGGCTACTGAAGCAATTTAGCAGAGAACAGCTTTGCTAGCCTGGCACTGTTCCCCATGTCTTATTACTGGTAAGGGCTTTCTTTAAATCTTGTTTTCTGTGAACTTGTGACTCTTTCATCTGTGGAAAATACATATTTTCGATACTCATTTTTTTTTTATAGTCCCAAAAGAGCTGGAACAGATAGTGTGGTATTTTACCTGATGGGCATCTAAACTCCACACCACAAAGCTTTTCTGGGAATAATCTTTAAAAGCATTTCAGATTGCCTAACCCAAGCAGCAGACGATTGACATGCACAGAACAACTATTACCCTATTCAATTTTTAAGGACAGTAGAGGACACTTGTGGGAAAGGTGGTGTGCTGATGACATCACCCCAGAGGTTAACTTCTTGGCAGCCTGTGATGGATCTGTGATATATGGCACATGAGCCCCTCGTTTATTTCCCTGTAGACTCAGCTTTAGATTTCACTCTCACAGAGAGTAGCAACTAATGAACTGAAGCCTCCCATGTTCCAGGTGGCATCTGTGTGCTAACATTTGGTGGATGTCGCAAAGCACCTCCCTGCAAGAATCCTGAGCTGAGCCAAGTGATCTCATGTCACACAGGACTTAATATAGCATGGATAGGAGAAGATTCCTGCAAAATGACTACAGTGCAGACATTTCAGAACATGCTATGACATGATCTGGAAAAAAATTGTTTTGAACCAGTAGCCTTAGGCAGCACTATACACATAGCTCCTGTGCTGCTAGAAAATCTTAGTTTATTATGGTTTTGTCAATGTCTTGTTGCTTTTTTTTGTTTTTATTTGAAATGTTTAAGGCCTTACCTTCCCTCATTTAGATGTAATAATTTATAATTGAAAATTTTGTGAGAGGATCCTAAAGAAATCAGTAAAAAAAAAAGAGGGGGGAGGCCTTTAACTTACTACCTAAAGATAGGTGCTATGGACATTTTAAGAGGCAGTCTAGCCTCTTTTTCAATGTTTATACTTGGATTGTTACTTTGATTGCTTTTTAAAATAAAAAAATTGACTTGTTTGACACATAGTTCTCTGTTAACTGCCTTTTAATTAACAGTATATGATGGCCAAATTCTCATGTCATTATATGCTCTCCAGAGCGTTATTTTTTAGTGGTCAATGTCAGAAATTTTTCACTAAAGTTAGCACTGTTAAATATAAATTACTAGTTATATCTGTGCACAGATGATTATTTTCACTGGCTAAGTTCTTAGAAAAGCATATGTTTAAAAGATTATTGCTGTTTTTAAACCTTTTTTTCTGGCCAAGTGGTTTTTCCACTCTTCAATAATGAATGAAAGAGTATGATCTCAGTGGCACTGGGCATTAATTTTAAGATTTGTTTCCAATATTATAAGCAGAAAATAATATCCCACTGTTGTTTTAATTTAAGGAAGGCTGCCTTGATGGTTTCTCCTTTATTGGCCTTATACAAAGAAGGCTGGAAATACCATTATGATGACACATTTCCCCAAGTAACAAGAAGACTAGCAGCCTTCTCTGACTTTCTCAGCCTGAAGTTCTCTCCTTGGAATGTTTTGAAAGTAACCACATTCTTCTGTGGCCCACTCTCAAAATATCTGCCCACAAAAACCATAATCCATAAAGTTGTGAGGCATGGTAATGAAATCCAGACTAGCCATTTAGAGTCACAAGACATGTCAGCTAGAGGTCTGAGCTGACAAGTGACATTGTGAAATGCTGTTCCAGTTCCTAGAATCTGAAAGCTTCCATTTATTGCCATCTTGGTTTAAAGGTGCCCATTCACTGTGGCTGCAATGGTTTTTCCCAAAAGCTATGTTTGCACCTTGCTATTATGCAAAGTTCAGCAAAGGTTCAAGAAGGCAAAGCCTTAGAGTGATGCCTGGCTACAGATCTAAACACCAGCTCCCGAGTTCATGCCTTTAGCCTTATTTCATCCAGGTTGATATTTCAGCTCTCTCATCTACCATGTGCACTGTGATTTATTAATATGAAGCAGTCCAGCTTTAGTATACATTCCTATTTCTAGCCCTCCATACAGTGTGTGAATGTGTTTTACTTTATTTGAGTCTTGTTATCTAGTCACTCAAGAAAATGTACTGTTTTTGTTGACTGCAGGGATAAAAGTTATTTATTCTTTGACTATTTGGACGACAACTGTGCAAAGTATTATGTCAGATGCTGGGTAGATAAATGAGCTAAGCTAATTCAGCTACAGTTTCCTGTCCATCCTGAGTTGACTCTCATTGGCACAGATACTACATTTGCCCTGAACAGAAATTTAGCACCTTCTTCTTTCTTCTTCCTCTTGTCTCACAGCTTCTTCTATGCTAATTTTAATCCATTTATCTGTAATACTGACCATGCTGATAAATATTAACGTTTATATTTGGGAGGTATGAATTACATATATTAAGCAAACAACCACCCTTGTCTTTTCTGCTTTAAAATTTACAAATGACTTTATATATGTTCTCTTTATATATGTTTAATGCATGCAGCAAAATAGTGCACTATTTGGGGTGAGAGGGAGGACAGTTATGGATGCTGTCAAGTCCAGGTATGAGTTTGAGCCTGATGCTGTTCCAGTTGACATTACTTGTTCAGGGGAAAGTAATCTTGTTTTATTCAAGCCTTAAGCTGACTGGGGAAGCCTGCTCACATTGTGGAGAGCCATTTACTTAACCACACATTTGAAGTCACTCAAAGCACTTGTAGACATGCTGAACAACTATTCTGGTACCGTAGCCCAGACACAAAAATGTTCTACTAAAAACCAGTATATGACCTCATTTTAAAGATGTATAGAAAGCCTCTTCAAGGCTAAATTACTTTTCTAAGATTATATAATAATTAAGGGCTATTTTAAATGTTATTTTTGTTCTATATAATTGTTTTTCAAAGCATATGCCTTAGGGTTACAATATTTAATCTTTTTCATAGGTTCATATCAAAGAAACTTTCTGACAATTATTCAAAATGCCTTGGAATGCCTCTTGATTTTCTTTGTGTGTTCTGATACCATTTTTCTGACACCAGTTCTTTGAGTATCCTGTGATTCAATCCACTACCGAGACTTAGGAAGGACTCCACAAGCTGACCACATCATTTCACAAGGATGCCCCATTTCACACACCCATCACTGATTTCAGGAGTCTGCAAGCTGCTTGTACCCTGCCAGCTCAACCACAAATTCAAAGTTTCCAAACACTCTCCCAGACTTGATAATTGACTGGGATGGCTCACAGAATTCTGTGTTATTCTCTACTTGTGATCACTATTTTGTTACGAAAGATGCAGATGGTTAACCAGGTTAGAGATGCAGACTCAAGGTCTGGGAGGACTATGAGTGCAGGAGCTGGTCTCCATGGAGTCAAGTGTGCCATATTCCCATATATTGATATATTCATCATCCAGGAGACTCCACTGATCAGAATATGAAGTTTTTATATGAGTTTCATTATGTAGGTGTGATTGATGATGTCATTGATCATGTCATCAGCCATTCTCTACATCCCTGGAGCTGAGTAGTTCAACCTCCAACCAGAGGCTTAGTCTTCTTGATGTGGCCTACCCTTAAAAATAACTAAGTGTCCACTACTGATCACTTCATTCACTTAAAAGGACATACCTATCACTCAGGAAATTCACAGCTTATGAAGTTCTGTGAAAGAAATACACAGAATATATATATTTATTATTGTATCATATTTGGCAATTTTCTGGATGTGCTTTATTCTCAATATTATTCAGTTTCCTAAAAGTTACAAATTGAAAGATATCCTAAGATGCTTATTTTCTAATGAGAAATAGGAAGGGGTGTGGATTCTTATAAGAGGGGAGGGGAGTGTGGAGAGCCTGGGAGGATTTGGGGGAGGGGAAAACATAACCAGAATATATTGTATGAAAAAACTTTTCAATTAAAGAAAAATATACAAAAATACAGGCCAACACCCTCAGCCTTTAATTTATAATCAACACATTTTAATTAAAACCTACCATGGAGTAGATGAGTATCAGACACTGAGAATGCAAACACATTTTTCTCCTAGATTTGTTTTCAAAATGTGGGTTTTCTGAGAAATTAAATATTAAGAACTGAGCAAATATTTTTCAACCCTTTGGGTAGACTCTAAACCATAAAATACACATTATATTTGGATTACTGTGAATGTGTGATTTTCTTCAAATGTTTCCTGTAGCTATGTATGAATGGCCCTCATTTATTACCTAGAGAACTTATTAAGTAAATGAAATAAACATACTGGCACAAAGAGAGACTTCACTGTTACTGCATGATTATAAATATTTAATTTCTTTTAGATGAGGTTATCACTAAATAGTGTTATGGTTCTCCAAATAGATTTGTACTTTCCTTTGTGGTTTGAAGCACTGATGCTGTGCACATAATGTGACATCATATGGATGACGCATAGTCAAAATGGACTCAGACCAACGATGGAAGACCTACACTTCAGTTTTCCTGCAACCCAAAGGGAACATTGAAGAGGCTTAAATGACCCTTGTTCTAGCTTTGCAGTACCACTTGCATTTAGAGTCACAAATTTATAGAGATCGGTATGGATTACTTTAAAAGAGCTTGGAAAGGGAGAAGCTTTAGGCTGAAAACCATTGACTCTTGTGTTGAAGCTTGTGCCTAGTGTAGGAATCCTTACCCTCGT